GGCCCTCCGTATATTTGCATTCAGCCATGTTAACCTTAATGCTCTTTAATAAATACCACTGCAACCATTTACTACTAAAAGTCACTGAAATTGGTACATCTTACAGAAAATTGCTTGATCAATTATCTGAAAGAGGAAGAATTAATACATCCTATTCCACCTTTATGCTAAGAGGGTAAGGAGGGTTGTGACTTTAGAGGAACCTCTGAGTTCTACAGCTCAGGTGGGACAAACTGCAGGAATATTAATCATGTTCACCACAAATCGGCTGCATCTGAGAAAGTAGAAAGAATGCTAGAGCTGAGGAAAAAAAAAAGAAAAAAGGGACATGCTTGTTGTGGCAAGCGCACAAACTATTGATGAAACTAAGACTAAGACCTAAAAACTAATATTTACTGACCCTCTTCATCCAGTCTAAATAAAGCCTCATTTACGCTACCCTTTTGAAACCGTGCCGAGATCGTCCAAGCACAGTAACCAAGATAATTGTTGAGTGTAAACGGTACGCACAACTGAACCGGACCGTGCCAGACACAACCTAACCGCACCAACATGGTACTAGTTCATCAGTAGGGCTCAGCACAGTTCATTTCTGGCACGGTCCTAAGATAACGAAGAGTGCCTGAGCAGACCGCTTCATCTCCTCACAGTCAGCCTCCATAATCATGAAACTTCAGACACTCATGAAAATACAAGCTTCCCTATCATTGACACACGATTTCCAGTGTTGACTCTGCCTAACAGTGTGATGAACCTCAACGTCTGTCATTTTTTCCTGCATCTGTAAGCCCTGATTAGACTATTGTTTGTTGTATCCACTACCCAAAAGCAGAGTCTGTCAAATAAATTCACCAAAGGCTGCCTTCTTCGCCAGACTCTCCGCAAACAATGAAATATCACAATCATAACAAAACACAACTTCCTGAATGTTAGGGGCGCCGCAAAGTTGGTTTGCTTGTTTACCACTAGTGAGCAGTAGGACTGTAGATCGCCACTAAGGCTACGTTCACACTGCAGGACTTAATGCTCAATTCCAACTTTTTTGTGAAATCCAATTTTTTTGCGTTGCCGTTCACATTTCCAAATATATGCGACTTCTATGTGAACTGCAGTCATAGCATCGAGTGATCTTTCCCAATCATAAAAAAACAATCTTTTTAAGATGGTTAAACATAAATGCTGCTCTCCGCATCATCGACCGCATGGTTGTTGTTTTTCTTACCGCTTCTACATAGCAAGACCCAGAATAGTGACCTTTGTCGTGTATTAATGGCGTTCAGGTTGGATGAATGCAACTTGGCTGGGTCGCATTGGGAAAAAAACTTATTCTGTGTTGTTCAGACTCCTGAAAAGATCAGATACAGGTCACATATGGGCCAAAAAAAAAAAAAAAAATCGGATCTGGGTCACGTCAGGCTGCAGTGTGAACGTAGCCAATGAGGCGAGGAACCGTGCTAGCGTGATGTGTAAATGGTCATAAGGAACCAAGCTTGGCATGGTGAACTGATAGGTTTTCAGAGGGTAGTGTAAATGGGGTAAAATAGTGAACTATTTTACCAAAAAAGCATCAGCTTGTACATGTAGTTTTATTTACACCTTGAAGACATAAACAAAAGACTTGTAGGCTGTACTTGCAGCAGAATTGATTTCTAATTTCTTCTTCTAAGTATTTACCCATGAGGACAAATACAAACATTTTAAAACATGTTTTTATCCCCAAGGAGTTTTAAGTTTATGCAAAATTTTCTGTTGCTTGATCACATAAAAACCAAGTAAAATGCACTACATGTTATTCAATCTGATCTGGGTTCTAAAGGAAGTTTTGGGACAACCCAAGGAGCATCCTACAATATAGGAAGCTACTCAAACAGCTCTTGTCCACACCAGATGAAATCAACAACTCAGGAAAAGTGCACACCTAAAGTACTTGTGCAAGCCTAATGACAGCCCCTCCCTATCCTGTTTTTAAATTTCCAAACACCACTCAGTTATTTCCAAAACCCTCACAGCTTTTAAGAAAACACCAAGTTACATTACAGAGGATGGTTCAAATAATAAATATAATCCCTCTATGCTAATACATAAACAGAAGCACAGGAAATGCACTTTGACTCTCCATGCCTTTCTAGCCTGCTGATGGTGCACTCAGCCTCATGAATGGAGTGTATAGAGACTGTGGGAAAACAATGGTGCCCTGTGGCTGACCTGAACATTTAGACAGACGTAGTGAAGTAAACAACAAAGTGAAAACACTCATGACTAAAGACTAAAGCAGGAAGAGAGAGTCAGAAGAAATGCAGCCAGGAAAGCGTCGTTATCAGTTTCCTCATTCAGTTGTTGCATGGGGCGCGCGCACATCTCAAACTAACAGCAAATGACCGGTAAATCCATTAAAACGGGTTGTCTCACAAAAAATACCTTTTAAATAATTACATTACAAATAAACCCGCAGCAAAACAAGCTGTAAATACAATTAAAATGCCACAATCTTTTCAGTGGACGTTACAGGCTACAAAAAAACATGTATTCATATAACCTACCTGGATAAAAGAGGAGCTCAGCGAGATTAAGCTAACCGGGTCGTCTACCGGGCCGCCATGTCTGCTGGGTCAGCTTTACACCGTGTTACCGAGATCAAGGTGGCATACTCAGAGCTGACAGTTCGCTGACAGCTGTGCGATAACAAGAGAGGTGCGGCAGACTGAAATATGCAGGCAGGGCGCTTCTTAGCGACACGTTTTGGTTCACTTAGTAATGCGGTTGGATAAAGATAACGATCCGGTACCAGTCCGGTTCCTGTGACGTCAAAAGATTGGGTCACGTGACTACCGTTCAGCCTCACCAATAACCGCGGCGGTTCATTGACAGAGACACCAATAACATCCAAGAAGACTACACCCCCCAAAAAAACTGGATAAAACAACGTCCTTATATATATACATATATATATATATACACACATATACACATACGTGTGTACACACATAAAATTAGGATATTACGTTCAATATTACATTCGCATCGTTTTAGATTTGGCAAAGAAAGTTGGCTAAATTAAATAATTTTAAAATACCAATAAATATTTAATTTATCAAACTAATGTAAGCAACCAGCTTTGCTCAAAATATCAACAGCAAATGAATATCTTTATATTGACAGTCAACCTTGAGGTGTATTTCTTACCACAAAATTAGGCTACATACAGCTCCCACTGGCAAAGGCATGCAGATTCAAATACAGAGCATAGACATGTTCTTTTTTCCTTCTCACATAGATGTCTGATTTGTTTTAGCTTTACATGACATTCTGTGCGAGTTTTTATGTCTTTTTTTCTCGACTTGTTTTTGCCACTGTCACATCCGACCTCACTGTGGTGCAATACAGGCATTTCTTATCTTATATAAAAGTGCTTAAAAAAAGACATAAAATCCATTATCATAAATTTACTGCTCTATCTTTACCTGCTGTAAAGATTCCATTTCTAAGTTTATGTAAAAAAAAATATATATATATATGGATATTTGCTGCTTCTTCTATCATTTTATTTATATATATATTGCTTTATTTTATACTTAATCCAAGACTGTGTACATAACTATCACTTTAATGTTGATCATTAAATCAGATGTCATTCACCAAGTATTTTTATTACTCAAACTTGAATATTTTCTTCTATGACTTCAGTAAAAAAAAAAGTGTTAAAGTATTGCTGCTCTTACTTGAGTAAAAGTTTTGGGATCTATACCCACCTCTGGTTAGGATTTACTAAATGTACGTATGCCAAATAGTAGAATATTTTGTTGCTGTTGTTGTTTTACTGACAAATCTACACTTTTAAACAATTTCAGAAAAGCCTAATAGAGATTTCACAGCTTTCTAAGCCTCTGATAGTTTAAACGCTAGGAATTAATCTAACTGCAGATGCATTTAAAAGAAACACTCTGTAACCACACTGCTTCCTTGTATGACTTCAAGGATATATGGGGAAATTGCTGAATTAGAATAATAAAAAAAAAAAAGATCTCAACTCAGGGAATTAAGGAGGCAAAGAATAATAATGTTCATCACTACTAACCTAAATAAGTCAGTATTTTATAAACTAAAAACAGAAAAAAACAACTTCAAATTCACTATAGTTACTGAATACGGAAGAGGATTAGGGCCACTGGAAAAAATAGAAAAAAGTTAACTGATTTTTAAATATTATTTCAGTTTAATATGGGAGAAAAGTCAGAATTCCGACCTTTTTTTTCCTCAGAATTCTGACTTTAATCTGAGAACTCTGACTTTAATCTTAGAACTCAAAACTCTGGATCTAATTGTAGATGGGCACCATGAAGGAATGATGTGGGAGCACTCAGCTTCACTGACAAAGATGTGAGTTGTGTGAGAGGGCCAGTAACACGTTGGAGGAAAATGACGGAATTAGGTGTTTTTTTTACTTGCCTGAGGGGTCCCTGGTGATGCTATTTCATTAATGGAAGAGCAGAAGGTGATTAAAATAAGAGAGCTAGTTTAGTCTTTAAAACAGACATGACAATGGCTGGATGCTAACATGTTTGTTAGCCGTCAGAATTCTGAGAAATAAATTTAGAATTCTGAGAAAAAAGGTCAGAATTCTGAGATTTAAGTCAGAATTACAGTCAGAATCCTGAGATTACAGTCATAATTACAGTGAGAATTCGTAGATTAAAGTCAGAATTCCGAGAAAAAAGTATGAATTCCAAGATTACAGTCAGAATTACAGTCAGAATTCTGAGATTACAGTCATAATTACAGTGAGAATTCTGAGATTAAAGTCAGAATTCCGAGAAAAAAGTATGAATTCCAAGATTACAGTCAGAATTACAGTCAGAATTCTGAGATTACAGTCAGGATTCTGAGATTACAGTCAGGATTACAGTCAGAATTCTGAGATTACAGTCAGAATTACAGTCGGAATTCTGAGATTACAGTCAGAATTATAGTCAGAATTCTGAGATTAAAGTCAGAATTCTGAGAAAAAAGTATGAATTCCGAGATTACAGTCAGAATTACAGTCAGAATTCTGAGATTACAGTCAAGATTCTGAGATTACAGTCAGAATTACAGTCGGAATTCTGAGATTACAGTCAGGATTCTGAGATTACAGTCAGAATTACAGTCAGAATTTTGAGATTACAGTCAGAACTACAGTCAGAATTCTGAGATTACAATCAGAACTACAGTCGGAATTCTGAGATTACAGTCAGAACTACAGTCAGAATTCTGAGATTAAAGTCAGAATTCTGAGATTACAGTCAGAATTAAAGTCAGAATTCTGAGAAAAAAGTATGAATTCCGAGATTACAGTCAGGATTCTGAGATTACAGTCAGAATTCTAAGATTACAGTCAGAATTACAGTCAGAATTCTGAGGAGAAAAAGTCAGAATTCTGGGATTAAAGTCAGAATTCTCATATTAAACTGAACTAAAACTTTAAAATCAGTTAACTTTTTTTTTTCAGTGGCTCCAATCCTCTTCCGTAACTGAAGGCTACATAGCTTATTAAATAATTTTTTTAAAAATCAGACAATCTAGGTCTTTTTAACAGTTTCCTTAGCAGTTGCATACTTTATATGATTAATCCCCTATTTGTGCATTAAAGGAATATTTGAACAACAGCAAAAGACACATTAGTTCAGTAAAATATAATATACACACACACACAAGAACATATTACACATCACATCCCAAAAAATAAAAATGGACGAGGAAATCAGAAAATTGATTTTGGGTGTTAATTCTCATGAGCTAAATGTAAACATCTTAAATCAGCCTCAGCATTCAGCATGACGAGGTGACGTCACTGCAGGTAGCCTACAACCAGGTAGCAGTTTACTAAACAAGCATGGCAAAATGTCAAATACGACCAAAAAACCAGGACAACCAAGAAGTAGAAGCAAGATCTCTGTCAAGTTCACCTTAAATAATGCATTTTATCTCATAAATAAAACTTACCCTGAGGTGCACCATCTAATGAAGGACACCTGGAGGTAATTTAATCCCAGGTTCACCAAAGTCCGCGGCGCGCTCGTGTGGCATATTTTACACCTCTGCTCACATATACGAAAGTATTTAAAAAGGAGGATCTCCATTCTAACAGAAAGTGTGCTAACATTCTTACACTTTGTTTAAATTGGGCAATATTGGGTCCACGCAAAGTTTCGTGTTGAACTGCTTCAATGTCCGGCCGGAGAAGAAACTTCCTGTCAGGTGCATTCACGGACAATCGGAAATCCAACGACTTTGCATTAACCCATAAAGTTTCTTATTTTACCGATATATTATGCTGTCAAATAATCTTTAAAAATGATTAAGCTTTCGAAATTACAATAACCTAGAAGTATTTTCAACTTTTCTATAGTTTGCAAATAAAATCAGAAATACCGAGCTGATGTTAGAAGTAAAGCAATCTTGTCCTTAAAAAAATCCACACACAAAAAAAAAAAGATATAAATGCCTTGAAGGTTATAAATTTAATTTTGGCCAGAATGAAATATTCAATTATATTTCCATTTAACATTAAAAGCTCTTGTCCACAAAGCATGAAGCACAAACTCGGAAATCTCAGAAACTAAACTTTATGACTTCAGCTTTCATGAATATTTTTACTAACCATTCTTTTTTCGACATATTTTTGTCCCATAAATGTGTTAATTGAATGTACAAGCTCAAATTTCAAACAGAGAGATGTTTCTGGATGGTCGGCCTAATTAGGTTGCCTCAGATAAAAAGGTGGCAGACTTTTATATAAAATGTTCACCTCTATAAAGTAGAATTTCCCACACAAAGAAAACAGGGGAAAAAAACCACCAGTGTTCATACCAATAGTTTATTTAAAAAAGTCACATCAATAAAATATGAACAGTCAAAATGACAAACTAGAAATAAGCACATGCTGCCCCTTGCAAAAAAAAGAGAGACAAATGAAAACATGAAACTTTTGATTGAACTACAATCAAGTAAAAATTTTAAATTCGAGAAATGGCTAGTTTTATCCGCCCCCTAAGCCTGTCCCTAGACGCAACGCTATGAAAATAAGGAATTACACAAAAAAATAAACTTTACAACACAAAATACATGTTTCAAAAGTCTTGTTTTGTACTCAAGCAACTGATGGAAAAAAGGAGAGATTAAAAAAAAAAAAAACGATGACAGAACATCATTTTTTTTTTCTTCTTTAGCACCCTTCAGTGCTCTTTATGATCTCCATCCTCCTCCAGCTTCCTTATCTCCGTCTTCAAGTGGTTGATGTTCTCCCTGCTGGCTTTCAGCTTATCTTTCAGCTCTGTGATTTCTTGGCTTGTTCTCTTCTTTGCTGCTTCTAGTTTCTCCTTTGTCTTCTGCTCCAGTTCACCAACTAGGGAATCAAACAAACATCCTCAGAAATACAAACCCTGTAAATACTGTAGTGCAAAGTGGATACCCCTTGGAATACACTTTGCTCAGGTATCTGATCAAACGGCATACATACACTCTGTTTCATGCTTATAGGCACCAAGGGTGAGTTGTCTGGATGTGGTCAGCAGCTGCTGCATCATTGCTGTTGGATCTTGAAAAATCTGCAATTCACACAGTGGAAAATGATAAACTAGAACAAACTAAAGAAAGAAAGCACTGATAACAATGGAAAAAGACAAGAATAAAATAAAGATGCACCATTTCATCATAGAACTCAGAGACGACAGTTTTCTTGGGCATGGCGCTGGAATCTGACTGGAACAGCTTCAGTAGATGGTACAGAGTAACCTAAAGTAAAAACACAAATATGAAAATAATAAAATTAGAAAAACAATTACAGAAGCTTTATTAAATAAAAGGCATTTGTTCAAAACTCCTTTCTTCTAGAAAACAAATCTCACTTTTCAAGCCTATATTTCTAAAGTTTTCTGTACATTGAGGGTATTTGAGTGGGTTCCAACATGTTTTCCAGGAAAATAAAGTAGGTAAAAATAAAAATGGGGTGGTATGTAGGAAGAAAGTGTGCAAGAAAGTAGCAGATAAAAAAGATCAAATTAAAGATAGTTTCTGTTGTATGTCTAAAACATTTGTTTACTATAGTGCTGTGTTGGGTTTAAAGAAGAAAGGCGAAGGAACAATAACAAAAAAACAACAACAAAAAAAACAGTGTTGCCTTTAATATTACAAAATTTGCTGTAACCAGCAGTTAAAGCTCCATGAAGCTCCTAAAACAATTGATATAATTTAATGAATCAAAATTAACACCTTAAAGCTTGGGGGGGAAAAATGGAGTTTAGAAGTAGAAGGGTATTAGAAAGAAAACATGGAATGAAATATAGGAAAAAGAAGAAAGGCCAAAAAAGGAAGAATTTACAAAGATGAGGACAAAGGACACAGTGAGAACATTATCGACCTTAGATGACAATGTATGGGATAAAGGAAACATTTTGGAAACTTATTTTTGGATAACTATCCTGACCTGAAAATACTGAAAATAGTTTCAGGACGTTTACAGCTTTAAAGGCAAAAAAACCCCAAAAAACAATTGGCACTAAATAATAAAGTTTCAAGTAGCAATGAAGTAATTGATTCATCTGTTGATTCCAGAGGTCATAAACACAATGCTTGCCTTATTACATTGTGATGTAAAACTCAAGACGTAACACGGCAGAAAAAAAGTTCCCTGAATTCTTCAATCCAGCACAGAAGACAGTAAAAACACCAATGACTCATAATAATAAATAATAATATTATATTACTTACTGGTCTCTCATTGGGGTCAATAAAAAAGATCTTGATGATGATTTCAAACTCTCCCCATCCTGTCTCTGTAATCTCATATGGAGGCTTTGTGACCACTAGAAGAATAAAAAATGATCAATTTAACAGGGTCAAAGTGGCTTATAAAATATATTTACTTATTTAACATTTGTCACTTAAGGTTTTATACAAGCAAAGCATAAAATACAAAAAACAAAAGAATGAGACCTAAACTAATAATGACCTGCATATAAAATACAATGGAATAGAAAGTCCCTTTATTGTCCCGCAATGGGGAAATTCTGCTGTTTACAGCAGCAAAAAGATTATAGGAAAAATGTGGACCTTAGAAAAATGTATAAGAATAACATAATTGTGAAGAGTTAAAAAATAAACAATAAAATACTGTAATAGCAGCAAAATCAGAGCTGTGCAAAATGACAGCATCATGTTATTTAACTGACATAGTAAGAAACTGCAAAATCAGCATGAATGTAACAACTTAACGCTCCCTGGTGCATGTAGGGTTTGTTTATTGTTTTTTTATTTAGATTCCCATTAGCTTCAGAGGCAAAGCAGTAGCTATTCTTCCTGGGGTCTTAACATTTTTACAGATATTACATCAATAACAATGAAACCAAAAAACAGAACTACACACACCCACACAAAACAATGCAACTTCATATATATATCTATATATATATATAAACATCCTGACAGATACACATCGTATAGTATGAGCTATTCTATGTACAAAACATTACCAATCTCTGGATATTATTTAAATGACAAAATATTTCAGCTACTTGTGTTCATTATGAATTACTTAACTCCATAAACGTTACAGTTACTTCAAAGTAAATATATAAAATCTAAGCCTTTTGGAAAAGCTAACATTGTACATCTTTGTACATTTTTTTAAGAATTAAAGAATATTTGATTCTGCTCCTTACAAGCAGCCATGCTGATTGTGCATCTCTAAACAATCTCTATTCCTTGTTCTAAAAGACCAGTTTAGAACAAGCAATCTGATAGAGGGCTGTGGCAGTGTCACTTTAACATAATATCAGCCTTTTTCTTACCTCTGAGTGGATTAACATAACTCTCGTGTAACTTGAACTGAATCTTCTTTACATAGGCAGACATGTCCTATGAGAAACAGAATTAAATACTGGCAGCAACACGAAAATGATTTTATTTTTCGGGACATTTCTAAACTTTTCTCACCTCGTTTCTGTAAGGTTTTACATAAACAGACCACTGGTGTGTGTGTCCATCTTCCTCTCTCTTTTTGCCAAAGTAACGGGCAACATTTCCGAACACAATGGGCTTCACTATGGTCACTCCCTGCAGGGAAGATATCAGAAAAGCTAACTGTATAGATCATGAAACACAGGAGTGAAAAAGAGAAATATGCCAAAAATTTTCACTCAGTCGTTCTTTATGTTCTATGAAACAGAAAACCTAAAACGACTTAATTTCAAATTTACTCCGTTACCTTAACGCGCCCCCCGGAATCTGGACCAAATTCAGTCATCGTTTTGAACATAGTATTCCACAGGTTTCTGCTATAAATTTATTACACCTTTTTTACGTTTTATTACGCTCCGCTATGTTTTTAACCCTCCTTGGCGGGCCATTTATGCGTTTAGACCGGGCATTAAACACAACAGGAAACAATTCACCATAACGGAAATGACGAAAGAGGAAGTGTGTATTTTCCGGTATGAACAGAAGCTAAAAACGAAGGTTCCACATCATTTTTTTTAAAGAATTCTAACGAATACAAAGCTAAACAGCCAAATATATACGTTTGATCTTCAGTTCATGTTTTTTCTTGAGTCTTCATTTAGATGAGCTTCAGTTTCCGCTATAAATATTTTATGGTCTGATAGATGTAATAAACCAACTTCTTGTTTTAGGGACTAGGGCTAGTGAAAGTTTCCCATCAAGGATTAAAAGATGAGGCATTTGAAATTACACTTGAAATTTTTATTATATATATATATATATATATATATATATATATTTAGGGTTTGGGTTCTAAACCTAAAAAATTCATATAAGCTTTTAAAGACTATTATGTGTTGAGTTTTGGATATAAATACATCAGTTTTAATTTGTAGTTTTCTATAGATTTGCTGTTCAATACATTCTTAAACTACAAGGCTTATTTTAGCCCACTACCTCAGCTATTTTCAAGCAAAACATTCCAATAAAAAAAAAAAAAAATCAAAGGCATATTTATTTTCTACCCAAACCACAAATACTAAACTTTAGGATAGATTTAAATATTTAGTCATTGTCAATGGCTTAATTCTAGAAATTGGCACTGCAAAGGAATCCTTTTGTGAAAATATTAAAAGGGCAATTACAACTTAAACTTATGAATGTCAAACCTATATTCTGAAGTCTCATTAAAAAAAAAGCCCAATACAGCCTGATGGCTTTTTACATCTTGCGGTTGGAACATCAGTTTAGTAATCTATGAGCTGCAAACTGGAACGTTGGTTACAACCAGGAAAGTCTTTGCTGATCCTTATAAATTTACTCTTTATTTCACTTTATTTCCTAAAATTGAACGTGGGACTTTGGCTGCACACACATCTCTGTACTGAAACTCCCTTAAAACACTGCCACTGATATTCTAGTGACCATTATACAAACAAGTTATATATATTCATTTAGGAACAATTTAATAGGTATTAACTGTAAATGTACCCATTATTTAACTAAATTTTTATTGTCCTAATATCAGCAATACAAGTTTAGTCATGTTTTACATCTAAGTTACAAATATGACAAAATAAGGAACAAAAAGACAAACTGAATGTCAAAATGTTTTATTAGTAAAACCAGCAATGTGAATTCATCACCACACTGCTTCTAAGGCAATTATAACAACCCATTACAAAAACCCTATTCAATCCTAGACCACAACTGATCCAAGTTTAATAGCTCCTAAATCAAATTGTTCGATTATAAAGAGCTTTAAGTACATGACTAGTTTCTGCACTTTCCCCTTATTTCATAATTTAGTCCCATGTAGGAGAAAATGATCAGAGATGAAACTATTGCACATATACAATAAGTTAAAGTGAAATTACAAACCATTCCTTAAAAAGTTACTCTTCCTGCTCGTGGGGGATAGTATCTTGCTTGATAGAGCAAAAATTCACTTTATTTCACCGCCTGGGCAGACAGAGGTGACAACACTTACCTTAGTGCTGTGGAAAACAGGAAAAAAGCTGACCGGATATTTAACCAAAACCCTGAGGTGGTCGTTCTGTTGCTTTGATAACATGTTTATGTACATAAAAAATCACGAATCATCCTATTTTGATCACTGAGCAAAAAAAACAAACAAAAACTTTTCAAAAAAGAAAAAAAAGCTAAAACAAAAGTCAGTTTTCATATAATCAGCATTTTCTTCAATGATGTAAACCTCAACTTCGCTTCTTATGTTTAAACTATTCAAACCAGTTCCTTAAAACGCATCAACATTCATGGTAGAATATGGATGGACATACATGAATACATAACACCATTTGATTCAGGATACCGACATAATCGCACAAACCTGCTTTCAAATTCCACGATCAGTGTTTTAGTGAAAGACAAATTTTCACCTAAAATTTATAAACTGGTTGATGTAAAAATCAAATTTAAAGAGGGATTATAGAAGCAAACATGGTCAGGTTAACATAACTAGACAAAAAAAAGTTTCTTGTAAATATCTAGAACATTTTTTTTCGTTTTGTTTTTATGCAAACGTGATTAAAGTCAAAGTGAAAAACTTTTTTTTTTTTAAAGACACGGTTGGAGCAGCTTTAAACATGGGCTAGCAGCTTTTTTTTTTCACATTTTATTCTGTTAAATCCAAAGGCTGGTGTAAACTTACAACTCATTTCAAATTTTGGTCTCAGTAAAAATATGAACTTTAAAAAAAACATTTTCTTTAACGCAGAATAAAGCTTTGTCACAGATAACTGACAATCACAGACACAAATGCAACACATTAACAGGATGGGTGATGTGAGAGACGCTGCTTCAAAGAGCAAAACCACCAATTGGAATTTTACCTTTTTAAACATCCTGATTTAATTTCCTGTTCTGATCACAACTTTACAAAACACTCGTCAAGGGTTGCCAATAATTTGAGGCCTTTGTAATGAAATTTAACATCCTTACATGGTGTGATTGTTTTCTGGAAGAAAACTGGGTGTACTTCATGGTCTCCAAATCACTAAAATTAGCAAATGTAACTGTTCAATTACCTTTTAAATGTAGTTTACAAGCTGTTAATCAGGGAATGTTACAGGAGAAAATCCAATTCATTCAAACTCATTAAAAAAAGGTCCAAACTGAAAAATAGAAGTTTTTAAATGCAATCCTAAAAAGCCCCAAATCAATGACAATTCTCCCAATGAGTGGATGGAAATTATTCTGCTTGACATAGATCTAACAGCAACCAGATTAAGAGCAAATAGGTCAAATGATGTAACAGTATTACCCAGTGAAATATGCCACATTTTGTCCCCCCTCCCATCATCATTTAGAAACAGCTATAGTTGCACATGAAAGTGAAACAATGCAGCAGTGGTGGCAGGCTTACGATTCATCGTATGGTTTCCAAAAAAATGATCCTAAGACCTCAGGTTCACAGTGACCCATCAATTCACATTAAGAAACACATTCCAGATAAGCTTACCTTGGAAAAACTCCATCCATTTGAAGAAAAACAAAATGTCAGGGAATAGCATAGCTTCATTGGTGAACTTAAGACTTATAAAAATAAAAAAATAAAGAGTGCAAATATACATTTGACTAATGAACGCGACATGTAGAGAAACTCAGATGAGTGGACCTCAGCAAACATTTTTTATTACAACACCATCTAGTTTAATCGAAAATCAGACATTTACAAAGAAGTGAGAATATGAGAGAGAGAGAAAGAGAGAGAACATCAAACACGAACCCTATAAAAACTTGTCTATACTGAATTTACAAAGTACAGCGAGCCAAATAAAAAAAAAAAAACTTAATATTTGTCTTCTATCATAGGATCGCGGAGCCATTTTGTTGTTTCTTTGCAAAAAAAGTATCACACATACTAGCCTTTATGTCGAGTAAAACAAAAATAAAAGAATGGTTTGGAAAGTTTTGCTTTCATCTTTAGTTACGAATATAGACATTTGGACAACAAAGCCTTACATAGGTGAGGGTCCTCCATCCACTGTTAGTCAGGCAGACAACGGAGAGAGGAGGAGGGAGGAAACATGGAAGGGATGCAGGAAGAGTTGGTAGTTGAAGTCCTGTCCGGTCATGCAGGGTGAGGCGGCGTGATGGTGCACGGAGAGCGTTCCTCCTTTTCCTTCCTTCCATCCTTGGTGAGCTGAAAGGTGTCAAAACGAAGGGTGCAGTTTGGTTTGGAGCCAGCCCAAGTGTAAACACTCCCCACTCACCATTAAACCTCTAGACTACAGCAGGTGTCCACCAAGGCTGGGTTCAATTTACCATCACTTTGAGTCACGGACAATAAGTTTACATCTTTATAAATGACTGTATGGATAACAGGATTTAGAAAACTAAGATGAATTTTAGTAAATTAAGTTCAACCAACTCAGCTGATCGTGAATTGCTCCCAACCCCAGAAACATACACAAGTATATCATGCAAAACTTTTGCAGAACAGTTCATCTTTCGGCATAAAGACAAAGCAGAACTTAAATATGTTTACTTGATCTAAAAAAGTAAAACCATAAGAAATACAGCTCTGAACCTATAACCTACATTACAAAAAGGATAAATCAAGTCTAACTTTTGGTATTTGAAGATAGAAACGACTTAATTTAGTAAAATATTATCTTACACTCGAAACTGCAGCTAATAAACCAAAAAAAAATAAAAATAAAAAATAAAAAAGGGAAAGCAGGAAACCCTAAGAAGAACCTTCAAACCCCCAAGAAGATTTGAAATAGAACATTTCAATCATTTTATTTTCTTCTTTTAAATAGTGACATTCTTTATAAAAGCATACAAAGCTAAACACTGGAAATGGTAATCATCATGGTAAATGCTTTAAAACCATGCTAGGTATGGGCGTCTTTCCAACAAAGAAGCTTCAGAGCTAGCTTAGCGCTGGAGCTTACGTCTCCATTTGACTCCAATCCTGAATATAATATAGATAATAACTAGTCTACAGAAGCACTTAGAGACAGGCCTATAAATACTGTGTGCACCACTATATATTTTTATATTTAAACATTCCTCAAGGTTGATTTTTCTCTGTTTAATTACCCAGGTTATTAGCTGCTCTGTTTCCATTTAAACAGCATAAACCCAGAATTAGCTCCAGCCCTAAACTAGCATTGGAGGTCTTTGGTGGAAAAACAAAGTCTGCGTTTCTTTCAGGAAGTTGAGCACAAAGCACACAAAAAATTCATTTTCTTGTTGTTGTTTTTTTTAACTCTGCAATTAACATTTTTGCCACCAAAATTCACCAAATTTATATAAAATACAACTTTTTCTTTTACATTAGACAAATTTTAAGGAGCTGAAATTCAAGGCTTTGTCATTAAGAGCTAACAGAGCACATAAATAAGATGTTTAATACCAACAGCGGCAGAATGCAAAGAACAGGAAACCTTAGAGGCTGCAGGGCAACAATAGAGTCCAACTGTTCAGTCGACATACCTCTGCACCTCAAGAATACCACACTTTGAATTAACAAAAAATTCAGGAATTGTTTCAATAGTGGCTTTACTTTCCATGAGGCAAAGAGGTAAGTGTCTACATTAAAAGGTCATGAATACAACTTTAAGTAGTCATCTAGTTCCAATTATGTGTAATGGCGTTTCGACCAACAATTATTATTTTAAGAGGAATACACCAACGTCTTAGTTACAGGCTGATTACAAATTATACAGGTATAAAAGGAGCACCATCGTCTGCTTTTAACGGACAATAAGATCAGAGTCAAACCAGGGTTAAGCAGCTTTCACCTCCAACTTGCCTTCCCCCCAAATTCTCCCACATAATATCTTTAATCCGTTTCTCTTGTTGAGTTACTACAAAAAACACATTAAGAGAAAATGTAACTTTAGCATTGCTGTATTTACTTCCTCCATGGGAGCCTCGTAGTTTAGAAAATATCTGGTTGACAAGCAAGAAAAGTTGGTTTATTCTCATGTTTTGGAAAAGATCTACTAACTTTGTTATAAAGAGATTATTGTTATAAAGACTTTCAACTTCAAACTTTTTCCTTTTAATTGCACCAGCATTCTGTCAAAGTCCATAGTGTGTTATAAATGCTATAGATAAACAGTATAGTTTTATTTAAAAGATGCATGTAAACTACTTACCATGCACAGTTTGAAGGTTGTATGAGTGCCGATTCGATACTATGAGGCCGCAGATATACCACAACCATGAGCGCATGCTACTTTTCCAGCTTGTGGTCTGATTTTTAAGCGCCTTTAGATTTTCTCTTACTGGCATGTGGAACTTTTTCTGTGCACTGATGTCAACTTTTTTTTTTTTAAGCAACTTGTCTGTGATTGGCTACTTTCCAGGAAATAACAGCTTCTGCTTCCCCAAACCGCCATCCTTAAATATAACAGGGTCTGGGCACTGGACCCTGATTGGCTGTAGGCTGTCCGCTAAAAAGGGTTATAGGACATCTACAAAAAAAGTTATGGTGAAGTAGCCCGATTAAATGTTAGCTGGAAATGGGAAGACCATTTATGCAGGTTACCATAGCAACATGTCACAAATGATACAGGATTTCCTGAAAAGTAGCCAATCACAGACAAGGTGCAGTGTCTTGTGGGTAACACGAGCTAGCAGAAACAGGTCCACACACGAGGAGGGAGGCTGCACACGCTTGAGAACCAAAGCACACATTTATTTATTGCATTTTTGACAGAATCCTGATGCTTTACCTTTGATGACAAACTATGAGAAAAAGTCTTCATTCTAATGTAATACGCTTTTTGTCAACCGGCCCCATATACCCTATAGAATAGGCTCTTCTGCTCTTGGTCACAATATTAGTTTGCAGCTTTTCTTTTTCTTTTTAACTGTTTGACTCTGGTTTGACATGATCAAATGTCTTCTTTGATTAAGGATATTGAAGATGCTGCCTCAGTAAGTGAGCTAGACCACCGTCTATAACAGCAATGCACCTGAGAAGCACTGAGTTTATGTGTATGAACACAAAACAGCACAAACCATAGTTTACTACAGATATAATACGACTAGATACGTTTACCTAGAATGCAAAAGGCGTGGATCTATGGAATATGAGGATTATTTGGACAGGATGTCCCATTACATTTAACCCAGTGCATTTCATCATCCACACATTAGATATCAGGCCTTGTGCCCACTGGGTACTTTTCCATTTTTTAATAACAGAAAATAAAAGTGCTTTTTTGTTCCAAGTGTTTCTTAAAACATGATTCCCAATGGACACAAGTCACTTTATGTAAGAATAACATTCATTTAAGTACAAAAACAGTTTTTCCACTCACTAAAGCCTAAAATCAGCACAACTCTACATTCAAAATGAGATGGCAGCAGAATGATTATCATCATATAATATTGGGTCTGTCTGCTACTTAAGTTCAGCGAACCCAAAATGTAATTGACTCTGATTAATAGGTCACAGCATACAACAAACAGGGACAACACTAAAAAGGGTGACAGCATATGATCAAACACACAATGCATCAATATTCACTGCAAGTGCATCTGACCGGAGTCAAAGTTGGGCCTTGGTAACCATAGAGATGATGAACGTTTCTACTGATCTCTGATCATTAAGCAAAACAGATCCTCATATTGTAGGCATTAAACAGCATTTCATCTACAGCAATGTTACACTTATGGTAGCATGTTATGTAACATGCAAATGGTGCCTTGGTAGACGGCACCAATCAAATTTATTACAATATGACCCTGAAAGACCCACAACAGCCTTAACATGGTACAAATTCATTTGAGAAGCAAAACAATATTTTCCTATTTGCTCTCAGGAACTATGACATGACTTGGCATCAAAATAGACAGGAAGACAAATACTGAGGCAAACTGGATAATTCATTTTAGACTGAACTAGGGATGGGCATTGATTAAATATTAATGCGAATTATAGAAGTTGAACGATCATTTGATGTTTGCGTCTCATGACTACACTGCCTGATTTCCCCTCAAGAAGGAAATGCATTAGCTAAATATCATTAAAGTATGTTTCAGCTTCAATCTGTGCTTTTTTTTTAAATTTTGATTCTTTTTTATTTTATTTTATTTATTTTTTGTTATGTTTTCCACCAAGATTAGCCCGCCACGATCAGCAAGAGCTGAATAAGGTATGGCAACAAATATGAATAAAAATTTTAATAATATTCAAATATGAATATAACACTTTTTAGATGGAAGGAGAGAATTCCCCAACTTAAGACGTGGAATAATGATCTACTGCATTACTAGAAAATACAAGTTATTCAGCAAGAGGATGTATTCAGAATTTAGAGCTGCATGGAAACTCTTTAAGCTACACAGAGAAATTAGATGTTTTCACACAGTCTATGGTGGATATAGTAGACGGCTATATACTATGTACTGTATATAGCTATAGATTCTGTATTATGAGTGTATATGTATAAATTTATATATAGTAGTGCCTACCCGAGATGTCATAACTATTTATGTTATATATGACTGATCCTGTATTGTGTACAATTTGAAACATAACGACCAATTTCAATTATATGCAGATTGTTTTAAATGTTCATTTTTTATAATGTTCAAATAATGTTTTTAAATAATGTTCATTATTTTTTCTTTATTATTAATTGTTATCTATTATTTTTACCTATAATTATGGAAATAGATCAATACTGACAATTAGTTGAGATGACTGGGTTAAGAGAAAAAAAAAAAGAAAAAAAAGGCTTTTATCTTGATTCATTATACACGGACGTCATTGTTTGTACTTGGCCTATGCTAAAAAGCAGAATAAATACAGTAGAGAAGGGTGCATTCATAGTTTGTCTCTAACCTGCTCACTAGGTTCAGTTACAGTGAGTGACAGTAAAATGTAAGAAATATTTACCATTACGATGCTTGGATAAAGTTAGAAATGTTCGCATTGTTTTATTGACAAACAATAAATCAAGTTGCATTTTTACATAGACTGAGATTAAATAAATGCACATAGTTTAGATTAAAAGATTGATGGAGCTGCACATGCTTTAAATGCCCATCCCTACTACATAACATCAGCAACATTATAAGATTGCTCCATAAAGTCTCAGAACATTAACACAACTAGCACACAGTTGAGCTAACTCAGTCCAGATTTACAGGAAATTAATAAAAACTAGAATTTTTCACATCAACTTCAGTCTGGAAAATCCTTAATATGAATAAAACAAAAATTTTGTTTAAAAGACACTAAAAAAAGTAGGAGGAGGGGGAGTTAACAAATTTTAACATGTGGGATTAATCTCCAACGCCAATGACAGATACTTCACAGTATCACACCAACATACATGGCAGATAATGAAAGACAAGCATGAGGACGTTTCATTTCTCCATTCTACCCCAAAGTTTAACAATGAGGTGCAGTTGTCTCAATTTCAGCAAACTATTCAATTCTGACACAGAATCAAGCATCAGGACCTGCATGTAAATATATAAACATTGCAAGCTAGGAATACTGTTTGGGCTTTTATTCATCCATCGAAAATGGTAAAAACTCCACGTTACAGACTTAGGTTAATTATACATTTACCTCCTAATAATTGGCATTTAACTTGAACTTGTTACAAGCCAGTAGATGCTGTGTAAACAGATTAGTCAGTTTGGACATCAAACTTCAAATACTTTAGTTTTACATAATTTAGTCTAAATTCAAACAATCATCATTTTTAAGCCAAAACGTTACTTTACATCTGATCTAAGCGCACAGCTGTTGGTAAGTCACGAAACTCAGTTGTTTTAATATTCTTATTGTAAAACAATAAGAAGGCGGTGCATTGTGTGATCTCTATCATGGAGGAGTGCAGAGTATGATTAGATTCAAAAATTACAAAAAGATCAATGAACTTTGTGAATTACCAACTTCTGAAGACTTTGACCAAAAGTACATCAAACAATTTCCAGAGACTGCCAGTTTTGTTTTTTAAAGTTTCACGGTTACAAATACCAACCCCTGTCCCAGTTCACACGTTTCATGGCAAACATTCACTATTACAACATTTCGAGGCCTCCTGCATATGTTCCAACAAACAATAGTTCAATCAGCTGCCAAAGCTGAAGGACAAACTTTCAAAAAGCAGAAAGGGCTGCAGCTCATCAACCATTTTTACTTTGATGAAAACAGGTTGTGCCAAATAAAGATCAGTGAGCTCTACCTCTTTCTGCTTTTGCAGATTTTACTTTTACACATATTTTCCGAGGCATACCAAACAACATGTTCAATGTATAAACAAAGAAAAGGTAACTTACCTTCCGACCTACCTGAATCCACAGGACCTGTTTTCAAACACCTTTCCCTGCCACACTAATAAACGTTATCAACGGGCTTCTTAATCTGATAATACGTGATGTTATTACTGATTGGGAGGTTAATAGAAGACTTTACAGGAGGAAAGAAATCAAAGTATTGAGCAAACAAAGAAGCCTTGCAGTTATTAGTCATTTCCCTCTTCCAGTGTTTTTGTTAAAGCTCTAATAATGTCTCCAAAACCCAAAGTGGTACCCACCTGTGTTGTTAGCTAGCGGTGCCGGTACTCCCTCTCTCTCTCCCTTTCACGGTCTCTGTCCCGGTCCCTCTCGCGGTGGCGGTCACGCTCCCGGCTGCGCTCTCTGTAATAATCCTCGTGCCTGTCTCGACTGCGGGATTTGTGTCGCCGGCTCTTTTCTCTGGAGCGGCTGTGGTCTCGTTCTCTGGAGCGTTCTCGTCTGGGGGAGGAAGAGAGAAGTTTGTCAGTTCAATGATTTAGAGAACCCCCCCCTTATGTTTCATTATACTTTAGCCACTTGAGAACGGCGACTGGCTCTTACCTTGACACAGAGCCGTAGCTCTTTGACTCTATACCATGGAGACAGTCCTGCAGAGAGCTGATGAGGACCTTGCATCGATCGTCAGCAGAAACTTTGGACTGCTTAATCAGGCTGATGGCTGTCACCAAAGTCTCTATAGCACTGCCATAATCAGCTAAAGAAGAGAGAGACAGAAGTCCAAATGGGGAACTGAGACCAACTTCACGGAGCTAGCAGTGAGTGGCTAACACCTCTACAGATAGGTCTGGCTAATGTAGCTACAGGTGGGATGTGCTTTACCTGCACTGGCGTCAGATACAGCCCGGGATATGGCGCTGGAGGAGATGGCTCTGTTCCTGTTCATGATCTCCTCAAACTCTGCCTCGTTCAAAGGGCCCCTTGATGACTCCATGTCTCTGAAATAAGTCAATAAAGGGATTGATTACCAAGGCTACCAGCTAAAGCTAGCTACTGCTTTAAGAAAACAATATATATTTTTTTAAATTATGCCAAAAATGTGATTTCCTGGCATCACTTTTACGATTCTTACCCTCGTCCAGGACCATAATCTCTGGAGTCATACGGTGGCGGCCGTCCATACGGGTCGTTTGAACCAGGGGGGCCTCTACTGTCATTGGGGGGCATGCTGTTCCCTCCAGGTGGAGGGAAGAAGGCGGGGTTCACATGAGGTGCTGGTGGTGGCCCACCTGGAGGGGGGCCTGGCAAATGTGGGGGTGGGGCCAAAGCCATCGGGGGTCCAATAGGGCCCGGAGGTCGAGGAGGAAAGGGTCCTGGAGGAGGCGGGCCCTGATGAGGTGGTGGAGGTCCAGGAGGTGGAACGTATCCTGCAGGAGGGGGGCCTGGGGGGAGGGGTCCAAGCGGTGGCTGACCAAACTGACCAGGAAACAGAACAGGGGGAGGAGGTCTGTCACCACGACTTGGAGGACCTGGGAGAGGAGGAGGAAGGCCTTGGCCAGGAGGTGGAGGACCTGGAGGCCCTGGAGGCCCAGGCGGGCCAGGAGGAGGACGAGGGGGACCCTGAAGCCCACCTACAGAAAATAACAAAACAAAAGGAAAGACGTAAGAGTAAAACAAACAACTTCTGATCACAGCAGCCACACTGCTATCATCTGGAGAAATAAGCATGTTGTTAAAAATCCTGGAGCTCGTTTCTTCATCAAAACACAACAAGGATTCAACATACAGCATAAAGTACATTAAAACTCTACTTATAACTTTATTTTTCCACTCTGTTAAACACAGCTGCTAAGATGCTGATTGGATGAGAAAAAAAGCAAACAACACACAAAGATGAGAGCAAGCTGCTGTTTTCTATAACTAAAACACAGATCATTTATCGGGCAAAGGTTCTGTGATTTGAAGGGAACCAGTTCCCCCGTGTAATCGGAAGAACCTTATAGGTGGCAATGCAAAGAGATACTTAAAAAAAAAAAAGGGAATCAACAAAAACAAAATCCATTAATTAAACTTTTGGTCTTGCTTAAAAGCTTCTACTTTTCAATAGTGTGTTAAAAAAATAAAAATACCACAAACTCCTTCAAAATAGTTACAACCACAAACCTCGATGCATTTAATGGATTTTAGGTTAAAAAAAAATGAAAATAGCGCAACAATGAGAGGTGGAAAAGACGTGGATTATAATGATTTTAAGTTTTCCAAACAGTTATCTTAAATTTGTGACCTGTAAATAAAGTACAGTGCTACCAAAATGGTTGAGGTTTTCAGAGAACATCAAAGAACAAATAGCGTCATAAAGAAAAAGCTTTAAAGACTTTTTAGATACGCAAGCGAAGAAATGGACACACCATGAAGAACAAAAATAAACTTTGGTCTACATTTTAACTACTAAGGATGTAGGAAACATCCCCCAAAATACACCACACCCATGTTCAGACACAATGGTGGCCACATGGTGCTGTGGGGACCCTTTCCTTGACAGGAGCAGGAAATGGCTCGAGGTTTCCCACCCAGCAAGTGAATGATGCCTAACACAGAACCAGAGCAACAATAGAAAGCACTAAATGAAAGCAAAGTCATGGGTTAGAGTGGCCTAGTTAAAGCCTAGAGCTGGAGATACTGACACCCAGCGACAGGAGTTAAATATTGAAGTACACAGACCCGTGTTAACCAATCAGATTGAGCCATTGTGCAGTTTTTCCCTCCCCAAATAATTGATGTTGGAGCTGCTAGAGAAGGACCCTCTATAACCTTCAATGAAATAATGATATTTGGGGTGAAGCAGCAGAATTACATTGTTCTGGCTGATTTAGATGTATATTTGTAAAAAGAAGTTTTTCATGTTTGTCTATCAATTAAAAAAAGTTGTAAAATACATTGAAGTTTGTAGTTGTAACAGAAATAAATGCTAGTGAAAGGAACTGGTAATCTGGGAGTGTAGCTGGTAAACCGAACTTTCAATTGATTTATTAACCTGATACAGTTTGTACCGTAGGTCCATTACCAAGAGTCTGAGCCTTCAGAGGAAAAAGGTAGCTGATCAAATTATTCAGATCAATTGAGGTGTTTCACCTCTGCTATGCCAGCTCCCGTTCCTGCCCCCCGGCGGGAAGGGATTGAAATTCATTTCCATCAGAGGGCCATCATGGTGGCTAACCAGATCTGGTCTCATTCCCGAGCCTAATGGGGAAGAAAGCAAACCAACCATCACTCTTCCCTTCATAAACTTCGGGCTCCAAACTGAAGGCCTGAACGCAGCCCAGTGGGGGAGGGGCAACAGTTAATAAGCAATAGATGAGGCATGAGAAGGACTGCATGGAGGAGAGAAAGGCTCTACAACAATGTCGTCTGCTTCTTGCAGTAGGCAGGCAAAAAACAGAAGTTGAGAAAAAGACCAAAAGTTAAGCTTTAAGCAAACAGCTAGTTAGGAAATGGAGCTGGAATCTATCAGCGAGTAAAAGGCTGCAGCCAGAAAAGGGTTGAACTTGTGACAAAGCTGGACAGACAAACTGAAATCTAGAGTGGCTTTGGTTCCATGCAAATAAAAGTAAAACAGTGTGTGTTTGTTTGGCAGAACTTCAGAAGTAAAAAGCAAACTTCATCAGCCTGAATCCTCTGGGGTGGCTACACTTATTTTTATAGCATTCAAGTAAAAGTTTAAACATCTAATTTAAGAATTATGTACATGAAGAGAAACCACAATTTCCATTCAAATACACCCCCCACAAAGTATTAACAACTGTGACATCAAACAAACCTGGAAAGTGCGGTGGCGGGCCTCCAGGCCCCACAGGGCCAGGGAACCGGTCATTTCCAGGACCAGGAGGTCCAGGGAACCTGCCTTTGCTGCGGCTGCCCATCGGGAATCCGCTGCGGGAGCCTGAACCAGGCGGCCCAGCTTTGCCTTCTCCAGACATCTGGCCTGACTGGTTACCTGTGTGATGGGAGAAAATAAGAAACTCACGTGCTTCTAATAGCCTATCCCATTTGCTGTTGTGCACTGGGAATTCCTCCACTGAGAAACAAAAGGATTATGTTATCAACTTCCAATAAAACAAATCTGGTATAAATCTATATTAAAAGATGAGAAGAAAGCAAATGGCCCGCTTACTTTTTCGTGACTGCATCTCAAACTGACTCAAAGATTGTTTGTTGCATGGTGTGACAATGGGATTCTGTCCATGGAGCTCCCTCTTAGACAACAGGTCCATTAACTTTCTAGAAGATGCATCCGATCCAACAGACACCAGAGCAAACCTGGAGAATATGGATGGAGGACACAGTTAGACAACCAGGAAAAAATCTTTTTAACTACTTTACTTCCACCATCTGATATCTGTAAATGTTTTCTGCATCAAATATACCGCTCATATCAAAGTGAAAACCAACATATTATACCTCTTTAGAATCAGGCAATTCTAAGGAAAATGACCATCAACTCAAATGTAAGCCAACCATACACTACAAAAATAATTTTTTCATGAACTCAAAATTCATATTTATCAGATCCTATCTAGATTCCTGTTCTGGCGATCAGACAAAACACCAGACAATGGCAAAAAATATGCTAATTTTGTCCGTAACACTCCACAGAAAAGTAATATTGTATTTAAAAAATAAAAGTTGTATTTCCCCAAAAATAAACCTACGTGTCGTAATTTCGGCAGTGCATGAATGAAAATGTGTGTAAATCTAACCATAGAAATGTGTTGGTTTTTTTTTTTTTTGTCAAATTGGTCATAAAATTCAAATAAATCAGTTTGGAACCAATGGTCCAAATTTAGCACAAATGTACCAATTGGACCTTTTACATGAAAAATGCAGCCTGATAAACCAGACTAAATGTGAGATTAAATGTGTAATTTAGTCTGGCCCAGATGAATGAGATAACGGAAGATTGTCGATGAGAATAACCCGTCCTTTTTCAAACCATGTCTATGCCTTCTGACCACTGAGCGCAACTGACTGTGACATAGTAAGCGCTACAGAAAGCTGGTGGGGGAGTGTAAACTAACAGCCTGTCGGTAAAACGGCGAATATGTCTTTCTTAAAAATGAATGAGCGTAGAGCCTCTTCCTGCTCACATTTCAACGAAAACCCCAATTCTAAACCTTCCAAAACTGATTCCAAAGCTGAGTCAAACCAGAACTGATCAATAGTTGTTGCCATCTTCCTTGTTGTCCTTTCTCAAGTGTCACGCAGCTTTGTCGTCACGCCCTCAAACCCCCGCCCACTTTGCATCCAGAAATTAATACAAAACACATCTCTGCTCTGCGATTGGCCCGCCAGATCTAGGGCCTGGGGCATTGATTGGGGCTAGAACACTCGCAGGAAAAAATGGATTTTGGCTGCTGCTGGGTGGGGCTAGTTTACTAGGCTATACAAAATGGGTCATAGTTTCACAATGCTTATGACTAGAGATCTGACATTTTAAACAGTTATTGTCCATGAAGAACAAGCGTTATAAGTGGGAGGGGTCAACTATATATTATACAAAACATAATAAAAATTGCATTTTTTTTTATCCGGGGGAAAAAGGGGTTTTAAGACATGTTTCAAGTAGGGGTGTGCAAAATAATCGTCATGACGATGCATCGCAATTCTAATTTTTGTGATCTACTGCATCGATTCTTGACGCCAAGTATAGATTCTTAATTTAAAAAAATGAACAAATAAAATACATGAATGGTTGGCGCACATGAGCCAAACCAAGTGGATTACAACTTCCAGTCCAGCAGATGTTGCTGCGGATGTGTTGACGCCCGCTGCCTTGTGTCACAAGCATTTCCAGCCGCGGGATACTGTGACGAGTCATTCGTAAACAAAACATGGAGGACACTGAGAAAATTCGCCCGGCTCCATCACATTTCAAGTCAGATGCTTGGATGCATTTAGGCTTTAAAAACAAAGAAGGTAAAAACGAAATTGATATGA